GCCGATAATGTCTCAGTGTTTACTCGGCCAATCTGATGAAGTGGAATGTGGTCAATCAGGAAGTGGAGGTTTTCAGTGTAACACTGCACCATATTAATCTTTTACTTGTGAAGTCACAGAAATGTTCACGCGACTCTGTCATCCATACTGTAGGTGACGCGGGTCTACAGCCGTTAAATAATGAACTTCAGCAGCTTTGAATTTACATTTACTCTCTCACCAGGTCAGCATTTATTTCAGGCTTAAACAGTTAACTGTTATATTTCCAGTGCAATATAGAACCTGGCTCTTGAGTATTTGCTTAAAATGTTGAATTAACTCAAGGATTTTAAAAAGAAAATAAAAAATATGATGATAAATGGAAGATCTATTTAAAAAAAACAACGATTTCTCAGAGCACCTGAAGAGCACTCATTCAAAGCACTTCAAATATGAGTCCTTGAGTAAATCCAAGTAAGCTAAATGGACTGCTACTTATATATTGCACCTTTCTACTCAGGTGAGCACTCAAAGCACTTTCTACTACTAATCTCATTCATCCAGTCATACGCACACTCATTCAGCACTTTTATCTATGCCTAAGTACTTTCTAGCGTTCACACCCTCACACAGATTTATCATGTGGCAACTCAGGGCAGCTGGAGGAGTCAGGATGAGTTCACTGAGCTTCTGATTGATAGACCTGCTGGTCTACTAGCTGAGCAACCAAAAACCCATAGCTCTAATATGAAGATAAAGTAACCAGCAGTGCTGTGTGATACTGCACGATTTGGCATTGATCTGATATCAAGTCAATGCAGGGCCCGTATTGCCAATACTGATATGAAAATTTCTTTATATATTTTAAAACTGGGCTTTTCTGGAGACCTGGAATGTAAATGTGCCTTTTCTCTAGAGCACAGTCAGCTTCTGCTGTTTAAATCTCTTATAGGCTATAAATAAAATAGACATGACAGTCAAAACTAAAAGATTCAGATATTTTCTGAGTTTGCAGGTTTGAGATGTGTTTTTTCATTTTTTATTTTTTTTTAAATACAAATCGTTGGGCTTTGTTTCTATCTTAGAGGATAGAAACAAAGTATCTGCTTACACTTTAAGTAACCATGTAAGCCAGTCATAATTGGCCTCTGCACCAATAACAGCACTGCGGTTTTGTCTTGGTTAAGCTCACCTGTGCGTGAGACGTTAGGCATGAATACCTCACACACACAGAGGTGTGACAAATTAACTGAAACTCTTAACTGATCATGCCTCCCCGTCGCACAGAGATGGACTGATTGTCAAACAACGTGAATCATATGAGTCACCAGATCTCAGTCCAACAGAATGGCTGTGGGAAGTTTGAGACAGACAGAGCTCTCCGCTATCATGTTCAAAACTTCAAATAAGGGAATGAATGAATTAGGTTTCATCCCTCTAGTAGAACTGCAGTGATATAGGGAATCAACAAGGCATAAATGAGATTTTTCCAGAGTCCTGTGGAGGTTTTGCAAAGCGAACACTGATTTTTGATCCCACCATAACCAGCAGCAAATGCCAGAAACGACAGATTATATCAGCTGGTGAAGGCACACTAGTTTGAATAAGCTTCAGGCAATCTTGTACCATACTTAAACATCATGAAGGTGACTTCAGGCCAAGAACTACCTCATTGTGGTAGGTGAAGAGAACAACAGCAATTAAGCTTATAAAGAGATAACATTTATTTTAAGCAGAATTGGGTTCAGCTTATTCTAAATCAGTCCCTATTTCCCGTGTGGCACCCTGGGAAAATGGATTGACCACACATGCATCAGATGGCTGTTAAGGTATATTGATAAGGGCCAAAGTGGAAGAATAACCAACACACTGACCAATGAAGCAACAGGATCATCCCAAATAGAGAAACTGAAACATGTGTTGCACCTGTGTGTAACAATAGTGGCTTTCTTTAAGAGAATTATTTACCATTAGAGATTCACTGACATCAGAAAGCAGCTAAAGTCAGCAGAAAAGGTTTCCCCTTCACAGCCATACTCTCCCTCGAACACATGCTGACGTTACTCAGCACAAGTGGCAGCAGTCACAGAGCAGCTGGTGAAACGAGCACCAAATGGAGAACAATCTGCCTTGAAGTGTCACGCTTCACCAGCATGAGTTAAGAGAGCAGTCAGTTCGATAAGCAAATTTGCTCCCTATCCTGTACAGGTCATCAAGAACATGCTGAAGCACCTTTGGGAGGGAAAAGATTCTAAAGTGTGACTAAGGTCAAAATCCAGGAAGTGCTGCTGCTAACTGTTGAAAACACATTTGCCTTCACTCTAAAAACAAGAGAGCTTAAAGCCGCCAAATGACGATGTCACGAGTGAATAACACAATGTCAGCAGCAGTGTCCGGGAAGATTAGATGGTGTCGATGCAAATGAGTGATTCACAGTGCAAACTTCCCGAAGTAGTATCTGAAGTGGGTCAGACGATTTTCTGTTATTATCACAAGTTCTGTCAATTACATACCACAACGTGTTCATCACACAGCAGCCTGCCTGTTCAGACACTGACAGGAATTTCCATGCAAACAGCTGGTGGAGTCAGGTTGTGGTATGAGAGGGTCTGACACTGCTGGGTTTGACATGGGGTGGGGTTGCTTGCTAGAAAAAACAAAGATTACTTGGGGTAAAACTATCTTGGTACTTAACTGTTGTGGGCAAGCCGGGGCTAAAATGAAGAGCAGCAAATTATGAGTACAGAAGCGGGTGGGAATTTTCTATAATCACAAACTGGATGATTAAAATCCACAGCGCTGTGTGATTATAAGAAACGGAGAAACTGATGTAAATGGCACTTCAGTCAGAGCGTTATTAAATAAAGTACTGGTTTGCTTCCACTCAGAAAATCAGAGCATTACAACAGCCTGCTGCTTTATACTGTGTTCAGATTTCTGAAGCAACATCAAAACATAGTTATTAAAAATCCTTCTGCATTTGCCCAAATTAACCCTAACACCGGTCTCTCAATCCTGCCAGATGGCAAGATCCTGCAGGTCCAAGAGAGGTTTGCACACCTTTTATACATTTCTAGGATTTCTAGGGATCACTCCTCTCTCTCTCAGTTTCTGTGTTTATATTAGAATAAAACGCTGACTCCTGAATTGTGAGCTTTAAGCAACAGGTTTTATGAATGGAGCATCGTCCCCCGCTTAGCAATGAAGATTTTTCACATTATTTGCTGTTCACATTGCGCTTCTACATGATTTCGTCAATGTTGCAAGTGTTCACACTCGAACCAAGATTCAGCTTTTTCCTAAAGTACGCGCTCTGCAGATAAATCAAAGCCTGATACACCACCATACCCGATGCCTGGCTTGTGCGCTCCCCTTCGTTCTCCTCCTCCTCCTCCTCACGCCTGGATTCTGCCATATTGGTATGAAACGATGTGGAAATTTAAAAAACAGATAAAAAAAAGAAAAAGAAAAAAAAAAGTTAGATCTTGTGAGCAGCTGGCTCCTCAGTCATCTGCGAGCATAACACGACGACGCAGTCGGATGTTGTCCTGTCCACTAGAAGTTTCACCGAGTCCTGCCCCGCTGTGGACAGACAGAGGTGACGACATCCAGTGACCGGACCCCCCGGCAGGAGTCGTTACTGTCGATGTTTGTACGCGGCTTTTTTTTTTAAAACATTATTATTTTATGTCTAATATCTACGTTTATATTGCTAAATACCGAGCCGTCAACAGTAATCTTTAGCCTTTATTCTGACTTCATATCACTAATGATAGATACGTGTCACATTTACGGGTCAACAAGTCAACAATATGATCAATTAGAAAAAGAAAAAAGAGGAAAAAAAGAAAAAACCCTGAAAAAACAAACAAACAAAACTTCAGATGATAAAATAGATACCACCACAACAACTTCATCCAAGGCTCTTGTTGATGGATCCCTCCTCCTTGGATATTTTGTATTGCTGAGACGGATTTTTATTTTTTCGTTTCAAATTTGTATAAATCTTTATTTAGAAAATGTCACCGTCAACCAATGAGATTGATGTAAGCTGAAAGTTCCGGGTGTGTCGACAGTCACATGTATCCCGATCCTTTTCACATTCATCATTAGTCTTCACCATTAACCACCTTGTATTAATTTACACAGCTTTAATATTCATACGAACCTCCAGTAAGTCAGAACTACACCTACGACCTGCTGCTATAATAACTCTTGACGGTCGTTGACACGTTTCCTTTGAAAGGCTACTCTGGGGAGATGTAATTCATCTGTCTTGCCACCAGATGCCGCTACAGGCTTGCTCATTTTTATAACCATAAACTAAAAAAAACAAAAACGTCTCTCACTGTCATGGCCAAATCTGTCAAAATATGCCCGATAAAAGTCCCCCTATAAGACTCAATGTAACTACCGGAAATCATGGACAGTTAGATACGTTTGCATCCAACTTCTTAAATTACGACTTGGGCTAAATATATCTTTCAATCAAGCATAAATGGAGGTTGTGTCTCTTCTATAACTCTACAGTATAATTTCATGCTGGAAATCACAATGATTATGATCCCGCTGGAGATATGGGTGGAGTTAGACATGCTGAGGCCCAGATTTATACACAACTTGGAAAGTCGGGGAAGAGTAAACCGTTGTACAGCACCTATTCTTAGCCTGCTTGATCTCAAACCCACACTCTAATCTCGACTTCAGATCTAAATTCTCAAAAATAAATAAGGCGAACTTTTCCCAGATCAGCTCGATTTGGCAGATCTTCTTATGCAGGACGAAAATGATCGAGAGGTTGTGTGCGTCCGAGTGGGACAGTTCAGAAAAAAGTAATAGTTAAAAAAGTACTTACACCTGACACCATTAATTTACAGACTATTATGGCTCCCTGCTTTACAGAATTTACAGGGTGCTAAACGCCGCTAATCATATCGTCACGTGGTTATTTCCCAAAAGGTATTACAAAAAAATGAGAAACACCTCTTCAGTGGACATGACCACTTGGTATTGTGGGAGGAGCGATCAGAAGAGGATCAGTGTGGGCTCACCTCCACTGTGTGCGCCACGGACCAGGTTAAGGATTTGGGTTACGTTTAGGCTGTCTCTGTGTACTATTTCTAAAGTGGGACGTTGTGGAGCTGTGGAAAACGCGGACATTTATTGCGGGGGCTCAGAGAGCGAGTGCGTGTCTGTGGTTGGAAACCTGCTGCTGATCGTCACTGTGCGCTCTTAACCAAGGTGGGGATCTTTACGAGTCCGACGGTAAGAAAAAGACGGGAAAGGCCAGCTCGGCAGGCAACACTTGGCAGTGGTAGTTTGACTTGTATGTTAAGTTTTGCTTGCTTGTTTTTACAGCTCCAGACTCTGTGACTAACATGTGCGGGTGGGTAGGCGGGTGGAAGGGTTGGGTATCTCCAAACTGCGGGGTGTTTTCTGTTGGGTTTACCGGGGGGAGATACCCAGGATCACGGCGACAAGTTTGCATCCCTGTGACGTTAGAGAAGTGAAAACCTAAACTCTGTTTTGCCTCGTTTCCTCTTTGACTACTTCTGCCCGACCGTAGAAAACAAAGTAGACCCACCCTATGTCTAATCTTAGTTCTGTACACCAATAAAAAAAACAGCCAATGCTTCATAAAAATGTTCGCGGATCTGGTTACATAATAACGCAGAATCTTCAGGAGGAGACAAATATTGTATCCACGTGCTTCTGCTGTTATTGTCATTGTTATAAACTTTATGTTATGCTCTCTATCGCCTTTCAGCTTGCTCTTTTCTGAGCTTTGAACTCAGGTATCCACTCCCAGGCAGGACGCAGTGTGCGGGTGTTGAGTTACCTGCAAACATCATGAATTTTTCATGTGTGTCATTCCTGTGCAGGTATCCTATTCTACCCGCTAAATCACTGTTTTGTTTTGTAGGGTTTTCCACAATCAGATGATGCAAACTGAGCTTCTGAGCGTCGATTTAGGCAATGAACAGATGGCGGTCATGAGTTACTACAACCTCTGTAGTTTATTAGTTGACGTTTTATCTCAAGGTAGAGGTCACCATATTTTAGTGCAGCATATCAAATCATTAATAAATATTTGAAACAACGTGACAGCGAGACTAGATCTCTTGATATGAGCTTTAAGGGATTCACTACGACTTTCAACCAAAGTCATGGTTTTCTCACCTGTGTGTTGAAATGTTTTGGATCAGAGGTCGGCACGAAAGAAGACATTTTTTTAAAGGAATTTATGACGGGACAAAATGCATGGAGCTGCAAAACAGCCGATTATGCATGTTTAATCCCATAAACCCCACTAATACGTATAAATGGAAAGCTGTGCAGGTTGCTTTAAGTCCAGCCTGTGCTTGTGCAAATTAAAATGAGC